TTGGGGTTTAGGGTCCAGGGGTTTATACCCTAAGCTTGACACCCTCAAGCCCGAAAAGCAAGGGCAGCGCACGGATCGATCTCCTGCTCCCGGAGCCAAGTCGAGACCTGCTACGTGTAACGTCATCTCTGTCCTTCATGTAACGAATATAAACATAATTATATATATACACACATATGATATATATATATATATATATATATATTCAATGTAAACACACACACACACACACCAGAAAACCCTGAACCAAAACAACCATTCCATACACATATAGATATATACGTATATATATATATATATATGTATACATATATCTGTCTACCCAAACCCTTGAACCCCAAACCCCGCATATTTTTTTTTTATTATGTCATTCTTGGTTTCAATCCTTTAGCAGTGGAGTAAACATAATTGTTAGCCATGGTGCAACTGGCACACATTGCTGCGGGCGAGGGCTCAGGGTGAAGGGCTTCCGTTAATGAGGGTTTTGGGGTTCTAGGGTCTTAGGGTGTTAAGATAAAACACGACCATGATTGAGAGAGCTACCCAGATTCTTTACGAAGTGGTATCAGCACACGACCATGATTGAGAGAGCTACCCAGATTCTTTACGAAGTGGTATCAGCTTGGGGTTTAGGGTTTAGGTTTCAGGGTTTGCGGTTTGCGGTTTGGGGTTTAGGGTTTAGGGACCGACCCTTGAAGAAACCCTACGAGCTGACAAAGCCTTGCACCAGGCCTCCGCTGCCTCTGGATTGTCGGGGTTACGCCCATCTACCCACCTGATAAGGAAAGAGATATCCCGCGCGGAAAGGGTTTAGGGTTTAGGGTTTGGGGTTTAGGGTTTGGGGTTTAGGGTTGGGGGTTTAGGGTTTGGGGTTTAGGGTTTGGGGTTTAGGGTTCAGGGTTGGTTGAAGGGTTGGGGAAAAGAGACCCCCACAAAAACCATGCAAGGGTTTACAGGGCTTTGGCCCGTGCCCCTTTGCAGGCCTCCATCAGCGATCCCGAAAGTTTCCTTCGAACCAGCCCTATTTGATGGTTCACTCGTAGACCCTAAACCGAAACCCTATAACCCGATAAACCCTATCCTATAAACCCTATAAACCCTATAAACCCTATAAACCCTATAAACCCTATAAACCCTATAAACCCTATAAACCCTATAACCCTATAAACCCTATAAACCCTATAAACCCTATAAACCCTATAAACCCTATAAACCCTATAACCCTATAAACCTGAAACCCTAAAACCCTAAACCCTAAACCCTATAAACCCTAAACCTATAACCCTATAAACCCTATAACCCTATAAACCCGAAACCCTAAAACCCTAAAACCCTAAAACCCTAAAACCCTAAAACCCTAAAACCCTAAAACCCTAAAACCCTAAAACCCTAAAACCCTAAACCCTAAACCCTAAACCCTAAATCCGAAACCCTAAATCCGTGTGGAGAAGTTTCTGGCAGAGTCCACGTGTCGGTGCGCGACTCAGGCCTCCGGGTCGCTGGTCTGTAGCACTGTGCTTGGGGCTGCCGGGGTTTAGGGTTTAGGGTTTAGGGTTTAGGGTTAGAAGTCCGATATCATAACCCCATGCATAGTTCTATCTGGTAATGGCTGCATTTGGGGCACTGCTCTTGTCACTTACACTTGCAGCTATTCTTGGGCCGTTGCTTCAGCACCCTGCCTCTGCCACCAGTTGGTGAAGTACCGGGGCCTCGTCACTACCTCGGATTTCGCAAACAGGAACGATTAGGATTTGGGGTGTAGGTTTTATGGTGCCAGAGTTTCGGGTTCAAGGGACGAAGCTATGGAAGTCTTCCTTAGCGATTTCAAAATTTCATTGTGAAGATAGTGCAAGTCAGGTGTTGAGACACGGCCTGAGGATGGGGGACTCAAGGCGTATATAAGCCAGACACACAAGACAAAGCAAACGTTGCTAGAAGGGGATGGGCTTTAGGGATTAGGGTTTTGGGGGGTTTAAGCTTTCAGGGGCCACTCTTGGCTGTTGGTGTCTTGGTCTACAAAACGCCTTCGCGACATATGCTTCTCCACCTACACACACACACACCCCTACACCCCTACACCCCTATACACCCCTACACACCCCTACACACCCCTACACCCCTAGACCCCTACACCTACACACACACTCAGACACTGGGTGTGTCGGCGTGTCGTTTCTACATGGTCGTTCCTGCACGGCGAGATGCCCTCAACTCTATAAGCCCTATCAACCCTCCCTAGAAAGTCTATAAACCCCAAGCACCCTATAAACCTTGATTTACCCCATTAAAAAAAGAGCCCTATAAAGCCTACAAACCCCTAACACCCTATAAACCTTAATATGCCCTATTTATACACCCAATAAACTCTACAAACCCCGAAAACCTGCAAACCCTAATTCTACCCCTTAGTTGCTGAATTCATAAGCCCCAAACAAGTGTACACTTTCAGTTCTGTAGGGATAAAAATATCCAAAAAAGTGTAAAGTGCACTCACCCAGCTACTAAGACCCTATTCACAGACTCTATCAAAATCCCTGGCGCAGCTGAGCCGCACTTGGCTGCCTCATAAGTGGCCTGGAAGCGGGTGACTTGAGGGCTGCCGCGGTTGAGGGTTATACGGTTATAGGGTTATCAGGTTCTGGGGTTTGAGGGGTTTTAGGATTACAATTGGGGTTCGGGTTTCGGGATAAAGGGCAGGGTTATAGGGTTTAGGGTTTAGGGGTGCACGAAAGTCGGTTTGAGAAAGCATAGGGTTTGGTGCTTGGGGTCAAGGCTCTAAGAGCCAACCTTTCCCAGAAGATCTCTCTCATTTGGCGACCATGGGTGGCCAACATTGAGAGGCCACAGTGTGAAAAGACAAGTTTATTGGGGTTTTAGGGCTTCGAGGTAGGACTTGGTGTGTAGGGTTTAGGGTGTAGGGCCAGTTGCAGGCTTAGTGTTTCAGGTTTCGGGTAGGGTTCCCAAGTTAGGGTTTCTTTCTCCTTGCTTGTACCCTGCATCCTAAATCCTTAAGAAGGTTCGGGTTAGGGTCTAGAGCTTATCATGGTCTGGCGCTTAAAGGCTTCTGACGGTTTAGGGTCTAGGGCGTCGGGCTTCCCATTGCCTAGGGCTTGAGGCTTCTACGGCAATTGATGACTTCGAGGTTCGGGGATGAGGGCTAAGGGTTTAGGGTTTAGGGTTTAGGGTTTTAGGGTTTAGGGTGAGGGCTAAGGGTCTTCTAAAGGTGAGTTTCTCCTCTTGGAATCAAGTAATTGGACATTATAGCGGCCCATCACCAGCAAAGGAGGTGTTCTTGTTGCCCTAAACCCTAAACCCTAAACCCTAAGCCCTAAACCCTTCTCTCCTGGCTAGTGCTGCTCGGCCTCGCGATAGCGCATCGCTTGCACAGTAGCATGGCGGCGTGGGCGCAGAGATTGGATCTTCAGGTCCAAGGCCCTCTAAGAGTTTGAGGGTTTTAGGGTTTAGGGTTTTGGGGTTTTAGGTTCCAGGGTTTTAGGTTGCAGGGTTTGAGTTTTCGGTTTTAGGGTTTTAGGTTTTAGGGTTTAGGGTCTTTGGTGGTGGGTCCTTTGAAACGGGACTCTAGTATCCTTGCAGATGTATCCTTGGGTTTACCCCAAACGCTAAACCCTAGGGTCTACAGCGCTTGAGTGACAGGAGGTGATGGAGACTTAGCACTCAAGAGAAAAAGGCCTCCATCCGACGACCCCTGCTAACTTAGAATGTGTATCTGGGACGACGTGTTCAGTGTTGATAGTAGTGTAGGGCCTTACCCGAACCCCTAAACCCTTAAACCCCAGAAGGGGGATCGGTTTCCCCTAAACCCATCAGACCAGGGCCCTTCTTCGTCACATGCCGCCCCCGATGCCAAGGCAGCGGCTCCCCGCGAGCTCTGTGACGTACCTGCACCCGACTTGAGCTTGAAAGTAGCCATCTTATGTACAACCAGGGTACCCTGAAACCCTTAACCCTAAACTTTCCCTAAACCCTAAACCCGAAACCCTAAACTGTTTTCTAGGTTGCCCAGTAGCCTAGGTTGAAAAAGGGTGCCCTTTTTTGCTTAAAGGGGTTGATAAGGGAACCCAAAGCACCTAAAAAGGGAATAAGGGTACTACTGGGCATCCTAGTCTTATGTACAACCAGGGTACCCTGAAACCCTTAACCCAAAACTTACCCTAAACCTAAAACCCCGAAACCCTCAACTGTTTTGGGGGTTGGTAGCCTTTTTCCAAGGGAACCCCTACCCTAAACCCTTTTCGGGGCTGCTTGCTTTCAATTTTGATACTAGTTTTGAGACCAGCATGCAGTGCGCCGTTCGCGTGGAAAAGCTGCACATTGCGAAGCCTCCCGAGGCCTTTTGAAAAAACACCGGCTGAGTGAACGGTGCACTCCATGTAGACCACAGTCGATGCTATCCTGAAACGAAACCCGCCAAGCCCGAAACTTTAACCCCAAAACCCAACACCCCGCTGATTTTGCCGCTTGCTCGATCTTCGAGGTGATCATCGGGTGAAACTTTCAAGCGATAACGGCACGCCGCAGACCCAAGTCCTTTCCTGGCCCTCAGTGGTTCTACTTGGAGAACCCTAAACCCTAAACCCTAAACCCTAAACCCTAAACCCTAAACCCTAAACCCTATTATCTGTGCAGGTGTAACCGACTCATAAGCTGCTTAAGTACCCTGACAGGGTTACAATTGGGGTATAAGTGCAGCTATAATTGCGTCACTAAGCTTGGCTGCACTCAGGAGGGTAGCAATGAATTAAACTTTTAGCTGCCTTAATAAGAAACCCAATGACCTCAAAAAAGGTAAGGCTCTAAAGTTACAGTAAAGTACCACAAAGTAAGTACCCTGAACCTTCAAGCGGTGGTTCTAGGTTCATAGAGGGCGCAAGGGTCCAAGGTCCAGGGTTTAGAGCTTGTGATTTGGGGTCCAACCGCCTTCATCTCGAAGCCGGACAGTGAGACCGAAAGCAAAGGCTTCTACTCACGGAGCTGAAAGCTCAATCTTGAGGAGTGTACCTCAGCATCGCACTTCACTCCCCCTGCCCCTATACCCTTTTTACCTAAATCCTATAAACCCTAAGCCCTAAACCCTGTTTGAAGCCTCGGAAGCCTAGACCCTGAACACCCGTCATTCCAAACAACATGGGCACAGGACAACAACATGTTGCCAAGCAAGACATGTCACAACCACAAGCAACCAGAGATGCTAATTGAATAGGCCCCCGCACTACTAAACCACCGATAATCAGTTCCCCAACTTGAGTAAGAAAAGTTTAGGGTTGAGTGGCTTGTGGGAATCCTACACCCTAAACCAGACTGAGAAGGGAGCTGGACGCGAAACGACTGCCCGGGACGGATGCCGACAGGCACCTGCGTCATGAGCACATCAGAAGGGAAAATCAACTGCCGTTACTTGGAGGAGAAGGGCACCCACAAAACAACATGCCTTGAAATCACCCTGAGCAAGCTAAACCCTACGCCCCAAACCCCCAAACCCTGAAACCCTGAACCCCTGAACCCTGAATGAACCCCTAAACCTAACCCTTCACTCCTGCAAACTCGTCGGCTGCAGGACCCTGCAATGAAACCCCCCAGCACAGAGACTTGGCCTGCGCTTGGATAGCAAGACCATCCGGCGTGTGGACTTCGATGACCTTATCTGGGGGGGTGGGGTGTTTAGGGTTTAGGGTTCGGGTTTAGGGTTTAGGGTTTAAGGTTTAGGGTTTAGGGTTGAGGGTTTGGGGTTTAGGGTTTGGGGTTTAGGGTTTGGGGTTTAGGGTTTGGGGTTGAGGGTATAGGGTTTAGGGTTTTCTTGCCCTGCATGTACGGATTTGCCCTGTTTAACCCTCCCCTTTCCCCCCCACCCAGGCTGGGCTTGGGGATGCCATGGGCTCATGTCTAAGAGGCTCGGCCTCAAAGTAAGATGGGATCTTTAAATGGGAAGCCCTAAGCCTTGTATACCCGTACAGACACTAAACCTAGAGGCACCAAACCCCTAAACCATACTGAACTTGGAACCGTGGCAGAAATGATGATTTTGGCTGTTTCTTCGGAGTGGTGTATGCAAAAATGAAAAATATTCCAAAGAATCCCTAAGTAACCCTAAGTAACCCTAAACCCAGCAAACAAACTCGCGGGGCCCGGGAACCGCAGGTCGCTGGGCTTCAGGTTTCGGGTTTCGGTTTATGGTTTAGGGCCTAGGGTTCAGGTTTTAGCACCCACACCAACTCAAGGTAATTACCTTCTTTCTGGACCAGAAGAAGATTCCCGCCCTGAGCCTCATATTTTGTGGTAGGCAGAAGTAGGGAGTGCTCTTGTGAAGATGCTAATGTTGGCCGGCTGACCACCCAAACATTGGCCTAAACCCTAAACCCTAAACCCTAAACCCGAAACCCCAAACCCCAAACCCTAAACCCTGAACCCCTGCATACCAGGCCCGAGCCGTTCCTGGAGTTGCCGTTTCGGGGCAGGTGACATCACCTCAAGTCGCTGCTTGGAGGTTCAGGGAACCCGATCATAGCTGCAGTTAAGGCTTCAGGTTTAGGGTTTAGGATTTAGGGTTTAGGGTTATAACTGCACTTTGCAACCCAATTACAACCACTAGGGTACCTAAGGGCCTTATACGTGGGTTATGACTACGTTACTAAGTACCCTGAACCTCCAAGTGCGGCAACAACTTACGTGCTTGGTGCAATGGATGTCTCGGACTGCACACTTGCATACTGACTTGCACTTCTCAAGGTCCACTGAAGCCATGTCTCCTCAGAGATCCTAAGACCTAAGTGAGCGGACGGAAGCTAGCGAAGCCGTCTGCTGGAGAACTGGATACTTTCGCATGCGGGCGCATTGAACTGGGCATGCTTGAGTCTTTGTGACATTGGACCAGCTTTGCTGGTACATCTGCCCATTTGAGCGGGCACTCCGACGAAATTTCTCACCGCGCCACACGTCGGACGTGGATGTACTCTTGTCTAAGCTGCCCGACGGCAGTAAAGACTCGGGATAGCTTTTGGGGAGTTCCATAGCCGTTAGAATTAAAAGGACTGTATAGATGTATATATATATATATGCACACATGCACACCTTGAAGCCTTAGCTCATTGTGAGAACACCTCTGTTTACAGCAAGGTATATTGCGTCAACTAACGGCGTATTGGAACTCTGGGTGGTGCCGCCCGCAACTCTATCAACATGTAGGCCCCAACTCCACCCTATACCCCCTAAAGGGGCATTGGGCTCTCTTTGGGTACTCATGGTACTCGAAGCCCAAGAACCCTAAACCTCAAGAACCCTGCACCCAAGAACCCTAAAAGTCCGTAAGCCCTAAACCCTCAACCCTAAACCAAACCCTAAACCCCAAACCCTAAGCCCAAACCTGTCTTAAGTGCAGCGCCAGGGAGTGGTCCAAACCACGGCATCAAGGACCCGCAGCTCCGAGGGGAGAGGTCCAGGGCAGATGCCAAAAGCAAAGCCAATCCCCAGAGGCAACCAAATGAAGACGTTTAACCTGGCGTTTAGGGTTTAGGGTTTAGGGTTTAGGGTTTAGGGTTTAGGGTTTAGGGTTTAGGGTTTAGGGTTGAAGTAGTATTCGGAATTAGGCACGGGGTGCCTAGAGAACTAAAAAATTGGTTTTAAAAGGGCCGTATAGGGATTTAGGGCTCACAGAACTGTACAATTCGTTCCAGATGAAGCCCTGCAGCATGAGGGCCCCGGTTTCGATCAGCATCCGATGAACCCCGCTGCTGAGATACCGCGCGCCGTGCAGGCGAAGGGGCGTTTTGTTGGAGACGCCCCGGGAATCCTTGCAGAGAAGCTGCTTCAAGTCGAGGGTGTGGAGGCCTGGGTAGCCCAGAAGCCATATTGTAGTAGTTGGCTACCTTGATAAGGGAACCTTGAACCAACAAAAAACCAGGCAAAGGAGTACCACCGGGCTACCCCAAACCTCAGACCCGAAACCCCAAACCCCAAACCCCAAACCCTAAACCCCAAACCCTAATCCCTAAACCCAAAACCCTAAACCTTATAAACCCTAAACCGCTGGGCAACCAGGAGGCCTTCGTAAAGTGCCGCCATACGGCCCCGCCAGGGGTCCAGAGGGAAGATGTTCGCTGCGACCACCAGGTCCTCCAAGACCTTGAAGGAAGGATTAGGGTTTAGGCTTTAGGGTTTAGGGTTTAGGGTTTAGGGTTGAGGGTTTAGGGTTTAGGGTTTCGGGTTTAGGGTACCCTGACAACTAAGCCCCTCAACTCCACCATCCCCGCTTGGATGCCCACGGGTACGGGCTAGCTGGCAGAAAAAGTAGGGTTTGGGCTTGGAGGGGTTTGGGGACCCTAAGCCCTAGACCGGACTGCGAATGGAACCTTCCTTCAAGGCACCTCGAAGACCAGGAGCCCTACGCCATAAACCTTCTAAACCCCAAACCCTAAACTCTTAAACCGAAAGCCCAAACCCCAAGCCCTAAACCCTTAACCTTAACTAGAGCCTCCCTGTGTCGGGCCACTTGGGGGGGGGAGGGTCCTTCTTAAAGTCTATTTGGGATCCCTTCTTATCGTAACCGCCATGTCTCCCTTCCCCCCCCTCCCCCCCCCGCCCCAGGCACCTCGAACACAAAATGTATGCTTTCGGATGTTCCTTCGGATGTTCTCTTTATACTAACATAGGCATTATAGTACCCATATACATATAATCCCCATTAAGGCTTGTTCGTATCAGGGGGTACATCCCAAAGTATGCCCCACAAGGCACCTCGAAGACAAACAGAATGCCTACCAGGATCAGCGCTTGGTCGTTGAAGAGTAGCGCAGCACTTCGCCCAGGGATCACCTGGTGGTTTAGGGTTTAGGGCTTAGGGTTTAGGGCTTTAGGGTTTAGGGTTTAGGGTTTAGGGTTTAGGGTAAAGGATTTAGGGTAAAATAAAACCCTAAACCCTAAACCCTAAACCGGATCGCCTGTCTGTTTTTCAACAAACCGGATCACCTGGCGGTCTGGTCAAAACAACAACAGGACCCCTAAACCCTAAACCCTAAACCCTAAACCCTAAACCCTAAACCCTAAACCCTAAACCCTAAACCCTAAACCCTAAACCCTAAACCCTAACCTGGTGGCCTGAGGGGCGAAACTTTGGGGCTGACCAGGGCGGGTGGGGAGAGCCTTAACACCCTAACACCCAAAACCTCTACAAGGGTTTAGGGTTTAGGGTTTAGGGTTTAGGGTTTAGGGTTTAGGGTTTAGGGTTTAGGGTTTAGGGTTTCGGATTACCTAACAGTCCGAAACGCTAGAACCCGAAAAAACCCTAAGCTCGAAACCCACCTGCCGCCCCAACGCGTTGAAGACGACAAATGCCAGCGCCCCCAGAAATCGCCAGTACCCGGCAAAGAAGCGCGCATGCCGGTGAATCATTACCACGCAGCCTGGTCCTTGTTAAGGGTTTAGGGGCATTAGAAGTTCTTTTGGTTTTGATTGGGGTTTTCGCTAGGGGTTTAGGGGGTGTTAGGGATTGTTCTTTGATCTTCGGGCCTTTTCAGTACCAGAATGCTTTGAACAATACACACACACATCTAAACATGAGACCCTCTTATCAGCCCAATGAGGGAATCCCACAAAAAACCTGCAGGGCTGGCTCGAAAGCTGCAAGGGTTTTGGGGTTTCGGGTTTAGGGTTTGGGGTTGAGGGTTTGGGGTTTAGGGTGTGGGGGATTGGGGTTGAGGGAGTAGGTTGCAAGGTGAAGAGTCGACCTCTGAAACAAACTTGTCAACACTTGGCTGCACTCAGGAGGGTAGCTATAAATTAAACTTTTTGCTGTCTTAATAAGAAACCCAATAAGCCCAAAAAAGGTAAGAATCTACAGTTACAGTAAAAAAATCAAAGAACAAAGACCCTTTTTGCCCCCCTCCCACCCCCACTCACCAGATGAAGGAGCTACTCCTCAACCCTAAACCCCGTCGAACGCACATGAAAAGACCCCGAAGTCGCCATCCCCTTAATGGACATTTAGGGTTTAGGGTTTAGGGTTTAGGGTTTAGGGTTTAGGGTTTAGGGTTTAGGGTTTAGGGTTTAGGAAAATCTCACATGGGGTCTGAGGGTCTGATCAGTCGCAGGAAGCGCTTGGGGAGAACCAGTGCCAGTACGTAGGTGTGAAGCCCCTGACGCTGGCAGACGTTCCCAACGAAGATCATGCAAACCTGGATTGCCGGTTAGGGTTTAGGGTTTAGGGTTTAGGGTTTAGGGTTTAGGGTTTAGGGTTTAGGGTTTAGGGTTTAGGGTTTAGGGTTTAGGGTTTAGGGTTTAGGGTTGAGGATTTAGGGCACTTAGGGTTTAGCGCATTTAGGGGTTTAGGTCTTTTGAAGGGTCCATGACGTTAGGGGGTGGGGGCTAGGTATCCAATTCTTAAACCCTAAGGAGGGTTTCCCAAATCCTGAGAATAATGACAGTGCTGCGCTCATCCGTTGTGAGGTGCGCTGCACCCCGAGAAAAAGATGGAAAAGGGCGTTGCCCTGAGACTCCAAAGCCCCTAAATCAGGGAACATTCCTGAGCTGAGCATAGGGATCCTATTCATCGAGTCTCTCTAGGCACTAACCCCTCAACCCTAAACGGCCCCTAATCCCTTCCTAGCAGCAGTTCCAAGCCAGCTCCAGCGCCAAACGCCCGCTTTGGCGGCCACGGCCACGAGGTTGGTCATCCGTAGGGACTCGCACAGGCCGTGAGCAAAGCCTGGGCTTGTTCAAATAAGGCTACAACAAAAAAACATCTCACACTTGACATGATCGAAACCCTAAAGTTTAGGGTTTGGGGTTTGGGGCTTAGGGTTTAACCCTGAGCCCTAAGCCCTAAACTCTGAGCTCATGAGGAACCCTAAATCCTAAACCCTAGACCCTAAACTCTAAACCCCCAACCCTAAACCCTGGACCCCAAACCCCAAACCCCAAACCCCAACCCCAAACCAAACCCCAAACCCCAAACCCCAAACCCCAAACCCCAAACCCTAAACCCTAAACCCTAAACCCTAAACCCTAAACCCTAAACCCTAAACCCTTTCTTTCATATAAACCCAGGAGCTGATGAGAGCGCTGGGAGCCTCGATCTGGTCTCCGTTGACCACCTTGGTAGCCCAGTAACTAGCATATATACAGGGTTTAGGGTTTAGGGTTTAGGGTTTAGGGTTTAGGGTTTAGGGTTTAGGGTTTGGGGTTTAGGGTTTAAGGCTTAGAGTTTCCAGTTAGGGTTTTGGGGTTTAGGGTTTGGGGGCTTGGGTTTTGGGGTTTAGGGTTTGGAGTATAGGGTTTGGGGCTTAGCGATTGGTTTGCGGTTTGGGCAGGTTTACGGTTTTGGGTTTAGGGCTTGTTTCGTTTGGTTGTTGGGGTTTAGGGGGCTACTTCAGTCAGGCAGCCCAGGGCACTAAAAGCGAAGTAAACGGGGGTTTAGGGTTTAGGGTTTAGGGTTTAGGGTTTAGGGTTTAGGGTTTAGGGTTTAGGGTTTAGGGTTTAGGGTTTAGGGGGGGTGCCACTCAGCTACCAAGAAGCCTGCTTTGATTCGGGATCGACCCGGGGCTGCCACACCAACTTCCCATAGGCAAGTTGAACGGTAGCCTGGGGGGGGGGGGGGGGGGGGTTGGGGTGTGTCGGCTTGTTAAGATATAAAAAACCTAGGGTTTTTAGGGTCCTGGCCCCAGAGTAATCTAGAAACACCGCGATGCCCCAGTTTTCGTTTCAACTGGGCTCATTATCGTGGAGCCTGCTGACTGAGGAAGCCTACACGGTATCCCCTGTCAATCCTCGTACAATGCCCCCATAAGCCACCTTAGTAACGCCACTTACAAAGAGCTTCCAAGTCTAGTTGTATCGCACCTCTAAGGCACTAAAGTACCTGGTAGGGTCATATTTGGGTTAAAATTAAGTACAGTTCGTATTGGGTTACTAAGTACCATGAACCTCCAAGTAACAACCATGAGGTTCTCAGCGAGGCTCGTGGTGGTTGTGAGAAAGAGCCCCGCCGCAGCGCTGTTGATGGGCTCAAGGATGCCATAGATCCTTATACAGGTCCAATAAGCCAAGGAGAACAAAAGGGTGGAACTTTCTTATTCCTACTCAATAAGTAAGGAACAAAGACCGGTTAAGCTTCATTATTCCTACGAAATAAGTGGAATAAGTAAAGAACCCAAAAGTTTAAAGCTCACATAGTTGGCTAAGAAAGAGTCAGTGTGATCAGCCACATCGCCCCCTGGCATAGGGTCCTCGACCATGCCATCGCCATGGTGAAAAGCAGCTGCCTCTTGACATCCTTGGGCTTTGGGAAGTGCTGTGAAAAACCAGGGTGCTTGATGCTGGTGTTCTGCTCGTGTGCGCGGTGCATGAGGTAGAGCTCCACCAGCGTCCAACTTTCCATGATCAGCATTAAGGTCAAGAAGTAAGGCAGATGGTAGTAGCCGCCCAACATGTACATCGGAGGTATGAGGCCCAGCACATAGGTTGTCAGTGCGGCAACTCGCACGGGCAGGGCGTCCTTTGTCGGGGCGAAGCCCAAGAAGCATCTTGAAAGAAGGGGATGCATTTGTAGCGGCAGCACATGCAGGACCCATGGGCATGTCAGCGGCCGCCACCATGCGAACTGCCCGGGCACGAGCTCTGGCTCGAAGTACACAGCCGTTAGATAGAAAATGGTCATTACACAGAGAAACCAAGCTGACGAGCTGAGTGCAGTCCCATAGTTGAGAATCATGACGGGCTTTGCATCCTCGCAAATCACCCGCACATCAGCCGCCCTTGCCAATGCCAGGTGTTCTGGCCCACTTCGTGGGCTTCCAGCCTTCCTCCCAGCATCCAAGCCATCCGCAAGCAGCACTACCTTACTGTTGGTTGGTAGGGAATAAGGAAATGAGGTGCCCTATATGTACCCTATATATCCCCTTAGGGGATTATATAGGGTTACATATGCCCTTTAAGGGATTTGTTTGGGTATCTCATTCCCCCATTCCCTACTAACCAACACTAAGCTACTCCAGACAGCTGCCATGCGATGGAAGGCGGCTCTCCTTGCTTCGCATACAGTACTCGCACCCCCGTGGCTCGGCCATGCTCGTTGTACAGGAGCTCATACCACTGCCCGTCCTCTAGCTCGACTATGTCAGGCCCTATGCGGATCAGGCCTCGTTGGGTGCAGCCATACAGTCGCTGGAGTTTGCGAGCTGCCGCAGACCGGGCAGCCCGATATTGTGGGGGCTGCCAAACGAAGGTCTCTTCTTGGAACATGGGCTCCTCCTCTGCCCTCCCAGCCCCTTTCTGAGCCTCCTGCTTTTCATGCTCCTCCTGAACTACCTTCGCTTCAAACTCTCCCCAGACCAAGTTCGCTTCGAACATAAGCTCTTCGTGCACTTCTTGAACTTCATTCTCGTTGAACTCTTCCCAGCCCAAGTTGACTTCGAACATGGGCTCTTCATGTTCCTCCTTCCCTGCCTTTTCTCCGTTGCCTTGCTTGTCCTTGCCATCTTCTAGCGTGCTTGTCCACGGTGGCCGGTTCGTGTGAAGGAGGCAAACCCTGCCACCCGCTTCGCGGCGTCGCTGCAACAGCAGCTCCGCCTCAGGCCCATCGCCCACAATGAGCAGGCTCACGTCCAGCAGCCGAGGCTTCATGGGATCTCCACTGGCAGTTGTAAAACAATTCTCAACACAACAGAAAGACGGGGAGAGGGGGCGGGGGCAGGGGGGCGGAGGGCGGGGAAGAAAAGGGTGGGGGGGAGGGGGTGGGGGGGAAAGGGGGCTACTCCTGCTGCTGCTGCTGCTGCTGCTGACTTACGCTTCTCTGGTGACTCTTCCATGATGAGCCAACATCGCACAATCATGTCCCGGACAGCTACAAGTGAAGTAGAGGAAGAAGCAGCAGTAGTAGTAGCAGTCGCGAGTCGCCGAAGCAGTCGCAGTAGCAGTCACAGTAGCAATACTCCAAGCAGCAGTAGTAGTAGTGCGTGCTATTGTTGTGCATCACTACGGTGGAAAATGATGGCAGGCGTGTTACTTCAGCAACAAGTATATGCAGAGCTGCTGGGGCGTCGAATTGTGCATGATTTGCTTACGCGCAGCCGTCGCCATGTAAAGCTCTATGTAAGTCCCGTAATATGCAAAACTCTCGGCAAGCCGATTCATCTGCAACGCTTTGTGCAAATCGAGTCATCTGTAAGATCTATTCAAATCCAGTCATCCGAAAAGCTTTCTGTAAGTCGAGTCAACTGCTAAGGTCTTCGTAAGGCGGTTGGACCCATGGATGTGCTCCTAACTTCATGGGCTCCCCTACTACCCCCCTCTATACTACCCCCCCCCCCCCCCCTAGGTTCCCCCCCTTAAATAACCTTACTTAAGCTTAATTATGGGGGGACCCTTGGAGGGGTAGTATAGAGGGGGGTAGTAGGGGAACCCATGATAGCTGAGGAGGAGCAGCCCTCTTGAGCTCAAGCCCAGTCACAGAAGGCAGATTTCGTGGCAACCCGCTTGTAGGTCCTGGGAAAGGGGGTTTGGGGTTCATCGCCTACAGTCTTATGGCTCACCCTAAAACCCTAAACTCAAAACCCTAAACCCTAAACCCTAAACCCTAAACCCTAGACCCTAAACCCTAAACCCTAAACCCTAAACCGACCCTAAACCCCAAACCCTAAACTCAACAATCTATATAAATGGTTATGCCTTCTCTCTACGAGGATACTCCTAGCAGGCAACATATGGAGTCTCCGGGGTGTCGGGTGCCATCATCAGACTCTGAAGTCGTCCAGTGCAACCATGCGTCATGCGGTTTAGGGTTTAGGGTTCAGGGTTCAGGGTTCAGGGTTCAGGGTTCAGGGTTCAGGGTTTAGGGTTTAGGGTTTAGGGTTTAGGGTTTAGGGTTTAGGGTTTAGGGTTACCCTATTCTCACACCAAACACTACGTATCCCAGAGAACCAAATACCCCTTAAGGCACATGAACCTTATTTCATGATTCTTAGGGCAGTTGCATGGCCCCTTATAAGGCCCTGAAAAGGACTAAACCCTAGACCCTAGACTTAAAGCCCTCTGAAACCCTCCATAGCCCTCTAAACCCCTTTACGGCACCCAAACGGGAGCGTCCGGGTTTAGGGTTTAGGGCTAGGGTTTTTCGGGCTTAAAGGGCTTATGAGGCGCATGAGGTTGAGAAGGCTTACAGCGCTTATAAGGCTGATAAGGTCCATAAGGTTGGAGGGTTGACAGGGCTTAGCGCAAACCCTAAGCCTTAAACCACAAACCCTAAACCCTATAAGGGTCTCCAGGGCATAGGGCTTCCTGAAAGGCACCCGGGAGCCTATCATCTTAAGCCCAAGAACCTCATGTAGCAAGGCCTTTGGGTCTTAAGGGATGAAAGGTTTTTAGGATGTAAGGGTGTAAGGGTGTAAGAGTATAAAGGTTTGGGGGGGGGGGGGGGGGGGGGGGGGTTGAGGGTTTAAGGGTATAAGGGTGTAAGGGTTTAAGGGTTGAGGCTTAGGGGCCCTTGAAGCCTTCAGGGCTCTGCGTTCTCGCCCAAGTGGCAGGATGTAGTTTGTGTAGACCTGCTCCTCATCAAAGACGATGAACTCCCGGAAAGTGCCTCTGGGATTTCTAGGCTCTCGAATTATAATAGGGTGTACGACAATCCCTGCTAAGGACTGTTACGATAAGGGGGAACATCCCAAGGTTTAGGGGCTTTAGGGGGTTTGGGGGTTGAAGGGGCTTTAAGGTTTCAAGGTTTTTTTGGGGGAATGCTTTCTTATGACGGGTTCGGAGGCATCAGGGGTGTGGGGTATCAAACTTGGGCCCGCTCAAGCTCAGCCCAGTGTAGGGTTGAGGGTTTAGGGTTTAGGGTTTAGGGTTTAGGTTTCGGGTTTAGGGTTTAGGGTTTAGGGTTTAGGGTTTAGGGTTTAGGGTCTTCGGGTTCAGGATTAAACCCTAAACCTTAGACCAACAATTCCGTCCTCCAAGGGGATGCATACTGCCTCGTCAACTTTCTAACCCAACACCCAATATCCGAGTCTTCCGCAACTGACTCATGTTTGGTCGTCACTTGAAGAGCCGCATCGTAGGAGCATCACGAAGTCGATGACCCAGGCTGACGGGTTATGCTACATGCCTTGCGGCTGCCCACAGCTTGCAGGAAAACTTCTCGGTCTTCCACGCACAGGCATTCGGCGGGGTTGTGCCCCCTTAGCCCACGTCTGTTAATACTGCTCATGACCGTCCTGATGGCAGACGTAGATACCAAACTTGGCGCCACGGGGTACCTACTAGTTCTTTGTCTGTGGGCCGCCGGGTGTACGACATAGAGTGCGCAGATGAGATTGTGATTCTAGCGGTTACGCGAGCGCATGCAGAGGAGATTCAAGCGGATATCAAAGAGTCTGGGAGGCGCTTGGCAGCTGTAAACAAAATCAACAGATCACCGCCCAAAACCCTACACACAGGAACCCTAAGCTCAACAACCGTAAACCTCCTAAACTAAGTTGGCCCCGCAAGCCTCTCGAACGAAACCCCAAACCCTGAACCCCTTGAACATTATACTGAACAACTTCCTCTTAGAAGAGGGAAAATTTAAAGAGGTTTTGTTAACCCTAAACAGCTTCTTCTTGGATCACTTAGATCCCCCCCAAAAAGGAACTATCAAGTGTCCCAAGGCCTACTTGGGAAACCCCCGCGCCGCAACCCCACAGCCCTAAACCCTAAGAGTAACACTCCAAAACCCTCAGCCCTAAACCCGAAGCCTTGGGTTTAGGGTTTAGGGTTTAGGGTTTAGGGTTTAAGGTTTAGGGTTTCGGGTTTCGGGTTTCGGGTCTAGGCGGTTTAGGGCTTAAGACTTGAGAAGCCCTCAGGCTCTACAACCCTAAACCCTAAACCCTAAACCCTAAACCCTAAACCCTAAACCCTAAACCCTAAACCCTAAACCCTAAACCCTAAACCCTAAACCGTTTAGGGTTTAGGGCTCCAGCCTCTGCACTTCTTCCGGTCACCGAGGACCGAGTTGAACTTGCCTTCCCGGAAATGTCTGGGTTCGATGTAAGGGGAGCAAATTTCACGGGGTTTAGGGTTTAGGGTTTAGGGTTTAGGGTTTAGGGTTTAGGGTTTAGGGTTTAGGGTTTAGGGTTTCTGGTTTAGGGTTTAAAGTTTAGGGTTTTTGGCGTGGGCTTCACAAGCCACCTGAAACAGTCCTAGAAACTGCTCGTGTGCTGGCACATGCCACGTGGCCAGCAAGTCCACTTCACTCTGCTTGCTTTGGGGTATCCAGGCCATCAGGCTCTCTCAGGCTCTCCGGTGACCCCACAACCCTAAACCCTGAACCCTAAACCCTGAACCCTAAACCCTAAACACCAAACACCTTAACCCTAAACCCTAAACACCTTAAACCCTGAAGCCCCCGAACCCTAAACCCTAAACCCCTAAACCCTGAAGCCCCCGAACCCTAAACCCTAAACCCTAAGTCTCCCAGCGCACCCTTCAGGCAGGCATCCTCGCAGGCTCGGGGATCTGTTTCCTGCGCAACGTCCGCCGAGTTGAGGATTTGGGGGGTATTCTGCAGGGTTTAGGGTTTAGGGTTTAGGGTTTAGGGTTTAGGGTTAGGCGTCCTTTTGACTTAGTAAGTGTACTTAGCGTCCCCTAGAAAGCCTCAACAAATCCCCACAACCCAACTTACTCTCCCTACTTGCTGCGTCAAAAGGGTGGCCTCTGTGCCCTGTTGGGGTCCCTAAACCTCAAACCCTAGAGCCCTGCACCCTGTCATTTGTTCCGGGGCGGGGGGGGGGGGGTTCGAAGAGTCTTGTTCGTGAGCGCGCGCGTGTTGTTTGTGAATTTTAAACCCTAAACCCTAAACCCGAAACCCTAAACCCTGAACCCATGAGACTCAAGCTGCAAGGATCCTCGGGATTCTAGGGGGGGGCTTCAATTAAGGCAGAGCTTCTTGAACTGATGTGAGAATCCTCATATATATATATGTATATATACTTTTATGTTGAGGGTTCTGTATAAGTATTTATACATGTACGATATGTATACTACTTTCCGCCCCCCTCCCCTCAAAAAAACGGAGATGAAGTTGCGCTTCTTGCCGTCTCCCTGAGTTCCAGCCCGTTGTAGTAGCTAGCTTCGTTCATAACCCCAAGCCCGAACCCCAAACTCTAAATCCCAAACCTCAAACCCTAAGCCCGCAACCCTAAACTCCAAACCCCAAACCCGAAACCCTAAACCCTAAACCCTGAACCCTAAACCCCAAACACTAAACCTGAAACCCTGAACCCACTCTGGCATGAGACCCCTCAACCCTGCAGGGAACCTGGGGGACACGAAACATCCCCAGAGATTCCAATACCCCTTAATTATGGAATATACATTAAAACATACAGGGATCCTTAGTTTGATTTAGGGTTTAGGGTTTAGGGTTTAGGGTTTAGGGTTTAGGGTTTAGGGTTTAGGGTTTAGGGTTTAGGGGTATATTCCTCAATAAAGGGGTATTGGGCTCTTAAAGGTCAGCAGACGCAGGTGAGTCATTGGAAACACATCCCAGAGACGTCCAACAACTCAACTCGTAGAGCGCAACTACCGTTGGCTAGCGAACCCGCCCCAAAAAACCATCAATCTTCCCCTAAACCCTAAACCCTAAACCCTAAACCCTAAACCCTATATAAGGGCAATCTCGGGATGATTATTCTTCATTTTTGTGGGTTCGTAAGCACATATTTGGCATTAAGCACAACATCGGCTTCCAGAGGAGGACGGGGAAGTTTGTGGGGCGCCAGCGAAGATGTCCAACCAACAGTTGTTCGTTGGCGCTTAACTAGGGTTTTGGGGTCAGGGGCTTGCAGGTTCAGAGTGCTTTGTTGAGGGTTTGGGGTTTCGGGTTGCAGGTCTAGGGTTTGAGTGTTTGAGGGTTTTGGGTCTTAGGGCGTAGGGGCGGTGGAGGGGCTTAGGGTTTGCGACGTCCTTGGTATCGGTGTAGTAGACCCTGCCAAGGACCACCCGGCAAACCAGTAGATGTCGCACGCCGTCTGCCATAGGCGTGGTGTACTCGTCGCCTTTTCAAAGCAAGGTTTAGGGTTTAGGGTTTAGGGTTTAGGGTTTAGGGTTTAGGGTTTAGGGTTTAGGGTTTAGGGTTTAGGGTTTAGGGTTTAGGGTTTAGGGTTTAGGGTTTAGGGCTTAGGTTTTAGGCTTTAGGGTTTAGGGTTTGATGTAGGGTTTAAAACAGAGCCCTGGGAGGATCCAAAAAGTAGATCCGTTTTAGGGTTCCTAAGAACGACCCAATAGTCGCAAAGGGTACTAATTAGGGGTGCTACGATACGAAGTCTTCGATGATGGCGGGGAAGCTACAAGTGACCTAGATCCTAAACCCTAACCCTAGACCCTACTTGTACTTAGTAACACAACTATAAGTGAAGTTATACCCCACTTATAAACCCCTTAAGTACACTTAGGGTTGTAATCAAGTACAGGCATAATTGGGTTTCGAAGTACCATGAACATCCAAGTAGACTGTCCTTGAGCTGTGGCTCGGGGCTAGAGGGCAAACGCGCCCACCACGATATTTGCCCGAAATGACGAGTCTGGGTTTAGGGTTGAGGGTTGAGGGTTGAGGGTTGAGGGTTGAGGGTTGAGCCGAGGGTTGAGGGTTGAGGGTTGAGGGTTGAGGGTTGAGGGTTGAGGGTTGAGGGTTGAGGGTTGAGGGTTGAGGGTTGAGGGTTGAGGGTTGAGGGTTGAGGGTTGAGGGTTGAGGGGATTCACTTGGCCCCCGGCTTTTGGTCCCGTTCTCAGCGAGGTAGATACCTGCGTGTGCTTGCGGGCCACGTTGTCCTCCTAACCTCCTGGCTGCCCTAAACCCTCAACCATAATATATATATGTATGTATATATATATATAACACCCTCAAGCCTCAACCGAAACCTGATACCTACAACCCAGGTGCTCTGAACAAAGCATGCGAATATCTCTGACACTTTAACGCACCTCATTGGAGCAACGCCTCGTCAGTCAGCTTCAAACCCCTACCATGAGATTCTAAGGGCAGTTACATGGTCCCTCAGTACGGGCCCTGAAAAAAGGGACCCCTCATACCCCCCATACTTCAGAGCCCTTTAAAGAAGGTAGGGGACCATACGGAGGGCGCAGACTCATGTTCTTTTGCGAAACATTCCTGAATCATATTCAGATCCCCGGTCATTTTGATAGGGTTTGGGGTTTAAGGTTGGGGTGCGTTTAGGGTAGTTGTAGCGTACCAAAAGGGACCAAATTCCAGAATGTGCTGAGAATCCCATGCTGGCACCAGGCTCCCTAAGCGACATAAACCCCATAAACCCCGCAAACCCTCTAGTATAGAGCCCTGTAAACCTCTACAAACCCTATAAAGCCCTGTAACACCCCCCAAAAAAAACCTATAAAAGCCCATAAATCCGTTTCCTGAAACCCTATGACATCGAGTCAACCCTATATCCACCCTGTAACCCCTCAAGCAACAGAAAGACCGTGGCAGCAACATCCAACCTTCGAGCCTCGTCCGTAGAGGGTGCCCGCGTTGGTGCCCGCCAAGTTGATCCTGCGGCTAAGGCTGAGGCAGGGCTCAGTCACGCAGTACTAAGGTAGGGTTCAGGGTTCAAGGTTAGGGTCTGAAAAAAGGTATACAGGCGTTCGTACTATGCAGATACATGCCTTGTTGAGGGGGATTAAAGGGGGAGGTCTGGGCTGTTAGGCCGCAGGTTCTTACGAAAGGTGATCATCATGGGTTTAGGAGAAACTTGGAAACAAGTTTAATTATGTATCGAAATGTATACGGCAACTCAGTTCAACTTGCGCAGCAGCAGCAGCAGCAGCAGCAGCAGCAGCAGCAGCAGCAGCAGCAGCAGCCCACAATCTTCGCAATGGGGCACCTGATATTCAAGTCTCAGATCAATGCATGCAACCATGCCGTTAAGAACCCTAACCCCTAAACCCCCCCCCCCCCCCCCCCCAAATCCCCCCTAAACCCTAAACCCTAAACCCTAAACCCTAAACCCTAAACCCTAAACCCTAAACCCTAAACCCTAAACCCCCAACCCTAAACCCTAAACCCTAAACCCCTAAACCCCTATATAAACCCCTACACACCTAAACCCTACAAGACCTCAGCCCTAAGCTGCAAGGATGATACAACAACTCGAGACCCTCACGGTGCCCAGAATATGTACATCAAGCCCCAAGGGCGCTTAGGGTTTAGGGTTTAGGGTTTAGGGTTTTGGGTTTAGGGATTCCAAACCCCCTACGACCCAAACCTTAATCCCCCTAATCCCTGAATGTGGCTTAGCCTTCCCGCCCTACACTGAAATCCGTCGACCCAGACGGCTGCTCTGGACACTGCATATTCCGGTTTAGAGTTTAGGGTTCGGGTGTTCTTTAAGCTGGAACCCTAATCCCTTGTCAACATGACTGAACGAATATTCCTGACGTTACCATGGGGATCCCAATATGATTCACTGGAATATTTTGCAACTTAGGGTTAAATAGCGGGCCCAAAAAAATTAAAAAATTATCGCCCTCAACCCATGAGCCATAAACCCTTATTACTTGTAGGGATCTAAGTTTAAGGGTTCCTTCTCAGTATAATTGTATACGGGGTGGTGCTGTTCAAGTACCACTTTGCGGTGCTGCAGAAGTACCGGCAAAACTAGGCCCTGGATCTTGAACCCCTAAGCCCCTAATAAGCCCTACAATCTTATAAGTTTGGATTATATACGTGGCAGTGCTGCTGAAGTACTGCGGAATGGTGCTGCAGAAGTACCAACCTAGGACTATAGATAGTAGTCTAGAAGGCCGCAAGAGGGTTTTGAGCTTAGGAATGTGAAGGAGTAATGCAAACGAGCTGCTACTGTTGCAGTGAAATTTATAGGGTTTATGAGGTTGTTCCCGAATCTGACTGCTCTGCGAAATAATTTAGGGTTTAAGTTTCTTCCCAAATATGACTGCTCTGCGAAATGATTTGGGGTTTAGGGTTGTCAGGGTTTAGGGTTTATGGTTGAGGGATTTTAGGGTTAGGGTTTAGGGATTGCAGGGTTTCAGGTTGTTCCCAAACTGCTCTGCGAAATGATTTAAGGTTTAGGATTTAGGGTTTGAAGTTTAAGGCTGCAGAGATCGGGGGGCTTAACTGTCTACTTCTGGAGGGCTGCGGGCGGCGGGGGGGGGGGGGGGTTGAAGTTTAAGGCTGCAGAGATCTGGGAACCTTAACTGTTCGCTTCCGGAAGGCTGGGGGGGGGGGGGATCTGGGGGCCTTAACTGTTTGCCTCTGGTTGGCTTGGGTCTGACGGGGGCTCAGGGGGGGGGGTTTGGGAGCTTAGGGGGCTTAGGGGGTTTCGGGGGCGTCGAGGGCTTTAGGGTTTACGGCTGTTCCCAAATTCTGACTGCTCTGTTTCAGGGTTTAGGGTTTAGGGAGGGTTTATAAGGCTGTTCCCAATCTGACTGCTCTGCGAAATGATTTAGGGTTTAGGGCTTTATAAGGTTGTTCCCAAATCTGACTGCTCTGCGAGATGATTTAGGGTTTAGGGATGTCAGGGTTTAGGGTTTAGGGATTTTAGGGATGTTGGGGTTTACAGGGTTGTTCCCAAATCTAAGGTTTAGGGTTTAAGGTTTCGGGTTCTAGGGTTTAGGGAGTTTAGGGTTTGGTGGGCTTAGGGGGCTTTGGGGGCTTCGGGGGCTTTGGGGGCGTCCTGGGCTTTAGGGTTTAAGGCGGTTGTTTCCAAATCTGACTGCTCTGCGAAATGATTTAGGCTTAGGGATTTCAGGGTTTCAGGTTTAGGGATCTTCGGGTCGTTCCCAAGTCTGACTGTTCTGTGAGGAAATTTAAGGTTTCGGGATTTCAGGGTTTTGTAAGGCTGTTCCCAAATCTGACTGCCCTGCGAAATGATTTCGGGTTTAAGTTTCTTCCCAAATCTGACTGCTCTGCAAAATGATTTAGGGTTTAGGGATGTCAGGGTTTAGGGTTTAGGGTTAGGGTTTAAAGTCGTTCCAAAACTGCTCTGCGAAATGATTTAAGGTTTAAGGATTTTAGGGTTTAGGGTTTAGAGTTTGAAGGTTGACTGTTTGCTTCTGGAGGGCTGGGGGGGGTTGGGGTTGAAGTGTAAGGCTGCAAAGATCTGGGGGCCTCAACTGTTCGCTTCCGGAGGGCTAGGGGGGTGGGGGTTTGAAGTTTAAAGCTGCAGAGATCTGAGGGCCTTAGCTGCTTGCTTCTGGGGGCTGGTCACGGGGGGGGGAGTTGAAGTTTAAGGCTGCAGAGATCTGGGGGCCTTAACTGTTTGCTTCCGGAAGGCTGGGGGGTCAAACAAGCCCAAAGAAGGGACACCAAAATAGAGGCCGAGCTTTGCTTGTCCGACAAGGCCTAAAAGAAAGCGCAGCCCCCCCTCATTTGCAAACGCAATGCACGCATCATGGGTTTGGCAAACTTGCGGCTTAAAAAAAGCGGGGGGGGTTCGGGCGGGGGGGTGCAGCCCCCCCACTTGCAAGCACAATGCTCGCATCACGTGGGTTCATATGCTTTGAAGCAAACTAGACCGGCTTGAAAAACAAGCGGGGGGGTTGGGGGCAACCCCGCCCCCACTTGCAAACACAATGCTCGCATCATGGGTTGGGGGGGGGGCCATCTTTGGCATTTTCCAGCGGTTTAGGTTTGGGTTTAGGGTGAACGGTTTAGGGTTCCGGGTTTAGGTTTTAGATTCCCATGGTTCTGCTGGTGGCCTCTGCCCGTGGTCGTCCCGGGTCCGTCCCTGGGGGAGGGGCTTTTTTTGGTTGCGTAGCCGAGGGGGCTTTCGCTTTTTGTTCCGTAACCGCCCCGGCCGGCTCACTCACTGCACTGCTGGTGGCCTCTGCCCGTGGTCCTCGTTGGGTCCCTGGGGCGCGTTTGTTTTTTGCCGTTGCATAGCCTTCCTCCCCTCCCGGTCCCAGTCCCGGGTACGTCCCGATGCGACATAGCAAAAGAAAATACGGGTGGCAGTTTAGCCAAAAAAACGCGCCGCCATAAGGTACCTCTAATTTCGGAAACCACTGAAAAAAGGGCCTCAATAATTAGAATAGGGTTTTTGGGGGGTGATCACAGTAGAATTTCAGAGGGACTATAAGGGAAGACTCTTAGTAATTTATTCCGACCCCAAAACCACCAGGCTACAGAGCTGAACATAATCATTTTGTTTTCGCCGGCGCGCATTCACCGTTCAGCTTTTGACACCCAAGGAGGGTTTGACTGGGCGCTCAGGGGGCGGTTTGAGAGCTTCGCGGGCTGAGGGCGCTGGGGGGGGGGGGCTTAGGGGGCTTCGGGGCTTAAAGTTGTTCCCAAACCTGACTGCTCTGCAAATTGATTTAGGGTTAGGGATTTCAGGGTTTACGGTGTAGGGATTTTAGGGCTTATAAGTAATCGGACTGCTCTGCGAAATGATTTAGGGTTTAGGGATTTTAGGGTTTAGGCCCAAAAAGCAAGGATGCTAGTTAAGCACGCTCGGTCCCCAAAAAGCGGTGCTAGTTAAACATGGAACAGTGGTCTGCTTCAGTGAGTGAGTTAACTTTTTAAACCCCAGGCTTAGACTTGTGCTCGACAGGAACCTTGAAGAGCTGCTCTATTTTTTTAAAGCCTTGCAACCCCAACGTTTCTCCAAATCGAATCGGTCCCTGAAAAAGCACTTTTTCCCTCTGCGAGACCTGCTTTTTCAGAGACCGTGTCAAAAGTTAGGCGAACCGGGCTTTGTCAACCCCAACATCACTCCAAATCAAAACGGTCCCTGAAAAAACACTTTTCGCTCAGTGAAAAATGCAAAATAAGGGTTCGTTTCGAGTTAAGAGGAATTCGGAGTGCGAGGATTCGAGGGCTGATTTCAAACAGTACAGCCCATGAAACCTAATCATCCGCACGATTGTCCTGTTTACACTTTTCTATAGGCGAAAATTGCAAAAACAATAACCGAATGGAATATGGAAGCGGTTCATGTTTCGCCCTCCACGCAATTGTCTGGGTAGAACCGGTTTGGGACAAGTCGGCGTTGGACAGTTGAGAAAAGGACCCCCAGACAAAAAGCAATGTCCCCAGACATTGCGAATTGTCTAGGGGGAACCGGTTTTACCCAGACAGTTATAAGGGGAAATCGGCCTTACACCAAGACCGTCTTCCCGAAAGCCGATTTTAACATTACAATTGTCTGGGTAAAACCGGTTCTCCCTAGATAATTCGTAATGCCTGGGCACCTTGTGAATTGTCTAGGGGGATTTCTGCGAACTGTCCCGCGGCCTTTTTTTCGAATCGCGGCTGCTCCGAATTTGTCTTCCATTCGGGCATTGTTTTTGCAATTTTCGCCTATAGGAAAGTGTAAACAGGACGCTCGTTCGGACGACTAAGTGCGTGGACTGTATGTACTGTTTGAAATAAACCCTCGAATCCTCGCACCTCGACTTCCTGTTAACTCGAAACGAACCCTTTCATGCACTTTTCACTGAGCGAAAAGCGCTTTTTCAGGGACCGTTTTGATTTGGAGTGACGTTGGGGTTCAGGGTTTAGGGCTTAGGTTTAGGGCTTAAGGCTTAGGGCTTAGGGTTTGGGGCTCAGGGCTTCTTAGGGTTTAGGGTTTAGGGCTTCTTAGGGCCCTTCTTAAGGTTTAGGGCTTAGGGTCTAGGGTTTAGGGCTTGTTTTTTTTAGGCTTCAGGGTTCTTAGGGTCTTAGGGTTTAGGGCTTCTTAGGGTTTAGGGCTTCTTAGGGCTTCTTAGGGCTTCTTAGGGTTTAGGGTTTAGGGTTTAGGGTTTAGGGCTTCTTCGGATTTAGGGTTTACGGCTTGTTAGGGTTTAGGGTTTAGGGCTTAGGGTTTTAGGGTTTAGTGTTTAGGGCTTAGGGTTTGCTAGGGTTTAGGGTTTTCAAGGTTTAGGATTTCTGAGGGTTCAGGCTATAGGGCTTAGGGACCCTAAACCCTAAACCCCAAACCCCAAACCCCAAACCCCAAACCCTAAACCCTAAACCCTAAACCCTAAACCCTAAACCCTAAACCCTAAACCCGCAACCAACCCTAAACCCTAAAGCCTAAGAAGCCTGAGGGTTCAGAGGCGGGGTTTAGGGTTTGTAGTTTGGGGTTTAGGGTTTAGGGTTTCAAGGTTTAGGGTTAAGGTCCGGGCAGAAAGGGCAGCAGTCGAGTCCCTTGTGAAAAAGGGTTTACGGTGCAGGGTTGAGGTTTTAGGGTTTGGGTTTAGGATTTTGGCTCTAAGGTTTGGGGTCGGGGGGTTTAGGGTTGAGGGCTGGGGTGTTGGGTTTTGGGGGTTGAGGGTTCAATGTTGGGGTTTGGGGTTTCCGGTTTAAGTTTTAGGGTTGAGGGTCGATGTTTGGAGTTCACCTTCAGAGCTGGGGCTTAGGGTTGCAGGTTTAAGTTTTGGGGTTGCGGGCTCAGGGTTGAGGGTTGCGGGTTAAATGAATCCTCAATTGGGGGTCATATACCCTAGGAAGTCCACTCAGGGTGGGTTGCTATTACGACGACTCTTACTCTTACTATTTCGATTACTATTTCTATTATTGCTACTATTACCTTTACTCTTCTTGTTCTTGTTACGATTACGATTACTGTTACGGCATTAGTAGCAGTAATTGTAGTTGTAACGGTAATAATAGTAGTAACAATAGTGAAATCATATTGATAATCGCATTAGGGTTGGCACGTTTTTTGTGCTTGCGCAGGGCGTGCGCTCCCCCCCCCCCCCTGCCCCCCCTCTTGTCCACGGCAATCTAAACCCTAAACCCTAAACCGTGGGGGCCGTTGGGGTTGAGGAGGTCTTCAGGGTTTGGGGTCTAAAACCCTAAAAACCCTAAGCCCTAAACCCTAAAACACCCTAAGAAGCCCTAAACCCTGAACCCTAACAAGCCCCAAACCGACCCTAAACCCTAATCCCTAACCCCTAGACCCGTGCTTCACTCTGGAGGACGACTCGTCCCGCAAGCGAGTCCAGATGAAGAAAAAAAAGCCCAAAACCCTGAGAAACACCAAAACCCTAACAAACCCAAACCCTCAAAACCCTATGCCATAATCCCTAAAACGCCCTATGCCGCGCCCGAAACCCCAAACCCTAAGAAGCCCTAAGAAGCCCTAAGCCCAAAACCCTAAGCCCTAAGAAGCCAAAAGCCCTAAACCGTGCGCCCTAAACGCTAAGAAGCCCTAAACCCTAAGAGCCCGAAACCCTGAGCACCCTAAACCCTAAGAAACCCTAAACCCTAAACCCTAAGAAGTTCGACCAAATTGTAAGCGCTCTTCATGAGTTTCTAAGGGTGGTTTTTCTGCCAAAGAGACTGTTTTTTGCATTCTTTTCAATGTTGTAAACTACAGACCGCATTTTTGATCTTGAAAGGTAGATCTGGCTCAATCAAGCAAACACCAGAGGCGAAATTTACCAGGTGCTCTCACTTTCTCGGGCCTGCTTTGTTTTGTTTGACAATCAAACCCGGAAGTGTAACCAGTTTTGCACTTTCGGCTAGCCGAAAATTACGGAAAAGTATGCCGGTTTTCAGCCTTGAGCTTGCTTGCGACCATTGTAAGCAAAGATCGGCCTCTGTTTGGACGGGGCCTGTATGCATGCCTTGTTGGACAAGCAATTTCAATACTCGGCCTTAAGTTTTGTGGGGTCCACTGTCATTTACATATACGTATTAACTATTGAAATATTACCTATTTTTGCACTTTTGGATGGATGAAAATTGCAAAAATGAGGTCCGTTTCCAGTCTCAGGCCTGGTGCCCCTTTTGGTGTCCCTGACTAAGTAGAAAAATACTTATTTTGGCACTTTGGGATGGGTGAAAATTGCAAAAATGAGGTCCGTTTCCAGTCTCAGGCCCTCCGTCTCTTCAGCCTCCGGCCTGCTCCCATGCATTTTGGCTCATGGATGGGTGAAAATTGCAAAAAAAATTCCGTTTGTGGGTTTATTACTATCAAAATACCTGTTTTTATAGTTTTGGATGGGTGAAAATTGCAAAAAAGAGGTCCGTTTCCAGTCTCAGGCCTGGTGCCCCTTTTGGTGTCCCTGGTTAAAGTTAAGTAGAATAAAATTTACCTATTTTGACACTTATGGATGGGAGAAACTTGAAAATGAGGTCCGTTTCCAGTCTTAGGCCTGGCGCCCTTCAGCCTCCGGCCTGGCTCCCTGTATTTTGGCGTCCCTGATTAGGTATAAAAATATTATTTTTATACTTTTGGATGGGTGAAAATTGTAAAAATGAAGTCCGTTTCCAGTCTAATATAATATAACTATAACATAATATGATATACTATAATATAATATAATTATATATAAACAGATGTGTATATACATATATACATATATACATATATACATATATACATATATACATATATACATATATACATATATACATATATACATATATACATATGTACATATGTACATATGTACATAGATACATACATATATATATATATATATACATATACATATATACATTTATGCATATAGGCATGTATACATATATGCATACATACATACATACATACATACATACATACATACATACATACATACTTATATACATATATACATATATACATATATACATATATACATATATACGTATATACAGATATACATATATACATATATACATATATACATATATACATATATACATATATACATATATACATATATACATATATATGTATATATGTATATATGTATGTATGTATGTATGTTATTATTTTCCATAAATCGGTTTGTTCGCTGCAACATTTGGAAACAACGTTTGGTTGCTTGGTTGCTTTATATCGGTTTGCTTCAGCAACATGAAAAAATTAAAAAAAACTAACGCTATTTAACCCTAAGGCAAAATATAGTAGGGTTATGAATATATTATGATTTCACGAACAATTCCTTAACAGTATAAATGGAGTCCTTGACCCATGCACACGAAACTCGAAACCCCAAACCCCAAACCAACCGCAACGCCCCCCGCCTCCATCCTCATCCTAAATCCTTTCGCCCTAAACCCTAAATCCTAAGCCCTAAACCCGAAATCCCCAAACCCCCAACCCCTAAACCCTGAGCTCCAATCCCCAAGCCCTAAAACCCTAACCCCTAAACTCTAAACCCCTAAACCCCTAAACCCTCAACCCCAAGCCCTAAAACCCTAAACCCTCTCCTGAAATCGTGCGTCTTGATCGCCTCCGCAGCCGCGGCGCTGGTTCCGTGGTACAGGAACACCTCGTTCACCTCGGCCCTGGGCGCAGGCAAGGCTTTCGGTCGGACTAGGGTTTAGGGTTTAGGGCTTGAGGTCTAGGGTTTAAGGTTTAGGGCTTGAGGTCTAGGGTTTAGGGTTTAGGGGGTTGACAGGGGGTTTAGGGTTTGTGGGGTACTGCATGAGAGCCTTTAGGCCTTTAGTCAAGGACCCTAGGGTTCCTGTAACCCCGCTGAAAACCGGATAACAATACCCAGGATTTGGATTTTTGAACCTACTTAGACCTCTCAAGTACCCCGAAGATACCCTAAGCACGTCTAATAAGGTGACGTCTTTTAAGTCCCTACGCCTTCACAACCTTACCCCCCCAAACGCCAAAACCTCCCCAAACCCGAACACCCCCAACTCTAAACCCTAAATCCCCAAACGCCAAACCCCAAACCCTAAATCCCCAATCCCTAATCCCTAAATCCCCAAACCCTAAAGCCCCTAAACCCTAAATCCAAACCCTAAACCCTGAAACCCCAAACTTGGGATGTTCCCCCTTATACTAACAGTCCTTGATCGGGATTAAAGTACCCCCTCTTCCAATCCCTAGTACGGACTGTTAGTAAAAAAGGGTGACTATCCCAACCCCAAACCCCAAACCCCAAAACCCTAAACCCCAAACCCTAAACCCAAAACCCTGAAACCCTAAACCCTAAACCCCAAACCCTCAAACCCCAAACCCTCAAACCCCAAGCCCTCAAACCCAAGTTCCAGCAGAGCAGCATCAGGGGCGAGGCAAAGTCTTCCTGAGCTCAGGGAAAGGGGAGCTCTGCAATTATGCACCCACAAAATTAAGGGTTTAGGTTTGGGTTTAGGGTTTAGGGTTAAGGGTTTGGGGATTTAGGGTTGGGCGGAGTCAGGGATTTATAGAGTTTTGATTTAGGGGTTTAGGGTTCGGTTGGCTTTGAAACCGGGCTTCGGACTTCCCGTCGAGAGACTTGTTCATGGAAGCTCGTTAAATAAACCTCTCCTTCTATAGTGCCGTATACAGTACTAAAGTAGCTAAAGCCAACAAAGCAAACTCACTGAACCCCCAACCCTAAACCCTAAACCCTTAAACCCTAAACCCTGAACCCTAAACCCTGAACCCTAATTAAACCCTGAACCCTAAACCCTAAACCCTAAACCCTAAACCCTAAACCCTAAACCCTAAACCCTAGAAAGCCCTAGGCCGCCAGGCGACAGCCAGGATCCCTGCGATGACCTCGGCGCTGTCCCCGCATGCGTCCAGGGCTGTGTCGCCTGGGCTTCGGCGAGCCGTCGCTGCTTAAGGCTTGAGCTTTTTAAATGTATATATATATATATATATATAACATAAAGATACATATGAATATGAGGAAATATTCACAGATAACACACATATATATATATATATACTACATCATATATATATAGAGAGAGGATCATATAGATGTAAGGAAATAATGATATAGATATGGATTTTTCCAATGTATATATATATATATGTATATATACACATACACACGTATGTATATATATATATATTTATATATTTATATATACACTTATTTATTTATTATTTATTTATTGATATTTATATAGTTGTGCGCTGCGCGTTCTCTCCAGCCCACCCAGACAATCCCCCTGCATGAAACTGTAAGCCCTGAAAAACCCGAAGGCCTAGGCCCAATCCCGCTATAACCCTAAGGCCTAAACCCTAAGCCCTGAAACCCTAAACCCTAAACCCTAAACCCTAAACCCTAAACCCTAAAACCCTAAACCCTAAAATCCAAAACCCTAAAAGCAACCCACAACCACACCAGGGAGGGGGGGGGGAGAGGTGGGGTGGGGGGTGCGCCGGGGCGCAACTAGAGATACATATACAGAAGCAAAGGGCATAGAACTCTCTTTGCACTACATATATACGTATGTATAGAAAGTCAGAGCAGTAGTTGTGTTTATACTTTGAAGGATGCCCATATGCATTAGGGTTTATATTTCTTGTACCCCCAAAAGGCCACCCGGTATATACACTCACCAAGATTAAAAAAGGAACCTTATATTCATTCATCAAAAACAGTCATATATACCCGTCTTCATACGCAAGGATTTGCAAGTTCGGGTCTGAGCCTCAGGCCAGACACCTGGGCCTGGGTGTCAACCTCAGTGCTTTCAGGGTTTAGGGTTTAGGGCTTAGGGTTTTAGGGCTTAGGGCTTGGGGTTCAGGGTTTAGGGTTGAGGGCTTAGGGCTTTAGGGCTTAGGGCTTGGGGTTTAGGGTTTAGGGTTTAGGGCTTAAGATTTAGGGTTTAGGGCTTGGGGTTTAGGGTTTAGGGTTTAGGGTTTAGGGCTTGGGGCTTAGGTTTTAGGGCTTAGGGTCTATTGTCTGCATTCTGTACAAGTAGGGAAGTCAGTACCTTGCCCTTTGCCGGAATAGCATAGGGTAGCTAACTACCCTCATAGTAAGATACGGGCTATCGAAGAAGCAAAACTGCAGAGGCTTTGCTCCCGAATTGACCTGGGGCTTGGGGTTTAGGGTTTAGGAAGTAAGGTTTAGGGTTGAGGAAAGTCTAGTATAGCCTTGCAAATGGGGACCTTAGAGGAACACGTCAGAGGTCATCGATTTGCTGGGGCTTCGCGGATCTTTTGAGTACAACCCCCCTGCCCTACGAATACCATTCAGCCCACTGGTCCTTAACATATGTAAACGAGTGGAAATTGACGAATAGGGTTTAGGGTTTAGGGTTTAGGGTTTAGGGTTTAGGGTTTAGGGTTTAGGGTTTAGGGTTTAGGGTTTAGGGTTTAGGGTTTAGGGTTTAGGGTTTTTAGGGTTTAGGGTTTAGGGTTTAGGGTTTAGGGTTTAGGGTTTAGGGTTTAGGGTTTAGGGTTTAGGGACAAACATCAATGAGCAAAAACAAAGAGTGAGCTGTCCCATTCAAGGACCCAACAGCATGGCTCAATTATTCGGTATTCTCCGGTCTGTAGAGACTGAAGCCCAGCAGTTCGTGCTGCCCGGGAATAAGGAAGGAAAATCTACATATGTACATATTCTATTGTACACTTATCTAGCTTCATATTTCGTCTGCGCAATCTGTTGTTCCTAAACCCTAAACCCCGAACCCTATGCGCCCTAAGCCCTCAACGCCACCAAGCTCCCCCACTTAGTAGCCCAGTAACCACATTATGATCAGGGCACCCTTTTTTGGGGGTTGGCCATTTCATAAGGGAACCCATAAAATTAAAAATGAAGGGTAAAGGGTACCACTGGGCTACGAAGGCCAACAAGCAAGCTGAAAAGCCGTGCTGAGCCACCTCAAACCGCTGGAAGTCCTTGATGTCGCTGTTCAGCTCCTGTCGGATGGCCTGTGGCACCCCCGATATTTCGAGGTGAGTTTAAGCCGTTTAGGGAGATTAGGGTTTAGGGGGTTAAGGGCTCACAGGGTTAGGGTCTAGGAAGTTAGGGCATAGGGATTCTAGGCAACAGGGTTTCAGGAGTTTAGGGCTCACAGGTCTTAGTGTAGACTTAGGGCTGAGGGCTCACAGGGTGTGGGGGGTTTCATGGTGTAGGGATCCTTTGTAGGGCCCTAGAAAGGCCCTGTATAAGCCCCATAAACCCAGGGGTTTAGGGTTTAGGGTTTAGGGTTTAGGGTTTAGGGTTTAGGGTGTAGGGTCACATGTATAAACGCCCTAGCAACCCTATAAGAGCTCTGTCGAGCCCTGAAGCCTATGCCCTTTCCGTCGAACAGCTCTACACGACCCTACACCGTAAACCCTAAACCCTAAACCCTAAACCCTAAACCCTAAACCCTAAACCCTAAACCCTAAACCCTAAACCCTAAACGCGCCTCCCGCCGAGCCACGTAGTTCCCCCAGGACTCGTCGTTGGTGACCGCCGAGACGGTGAGGAGCTGTAGCCTTCACGCTTTGTCTGGGGGGGTTTAGGGTTTAGGGTTTAGGGTTTAGGGTTTAGGGTTTAGGGTTTAGGGTTTAGGGTTTAGGGTTTAGGGTTTAGGGTTTAGGGTTTAGGGTGTAGGGTAACCCTAAACCCTAAAAGGGTGCTTGTAAGGGTTTCCAATCTAGGGTTTCGGGTCTTACAACTTTTGAGGCCTACAAATCGGGTTGTGACAACTGCCATGATAACAGGGTACCACCTGATTCGGAAGGGAACCCGGAACACTCGAAAACCCTAAATACCTCAAACCCCGGGAAACCCCGAAACCCCTGAAAACCCACACCCAACCTTATAAACCCTAAACCCTAACACCTAAAAACGCATGTCTCAACTACCTTATGAACCCTTCACGTAGGCATGGCTTTGGGGGACAGAGGCTGGGTGCCTTGTTTGCATGACTTCTCTGGGATCGGCTTGTCCTCGCTTGGGAACCCAGTGTCTGACTGGCTTAATGGACACAAAAAACATAGATATAATCACTGCCTTGCTCACTTTTTTGTGATAAAAGGGTCCTGGACTTGCACTCAGCCCCCTAAACCCTGAAACCCCTTAATGTAAGGTTTACACGATACTCCCCCTTAGAACCTTAGTAAAAACATAGTATTTTAAAATATCCTCCTGGGTTTTGTATCAACAACAGTAAAGAAATGATTCCCAAGGGTTTAGGGTTTAGGGTTTAGGGTTTAGGGTTTAGGGCCTTTAGGGTTTAGTACAGTGCTAAGGGGTCGGATCCGAGGGCTTCGCGCCCTGCCTCTCTGGCACCGGCTGCCCGAGCCGATCTCGGGTGTAGACCTTCCTTGCAGCCACTGGGGGGCTTTTTGGGGTTTGGGGTTTAGGGTTTAGGGTTTGGGGTTTAGGGTTTAGGGTTTGGGGTTTAGGGTTTAGGGTTTAGGGTGAAGGCTTTGGGTTTAGGGTTTCGGGTTTCGGGTTTCGGGTTTTATAGGGTTCAGGTATGAGGGTCTGCTTGAGGAGCCATGTCAACCTGTCAATGCACCACCACGCAAATGAGTCAGGCCGGGGCCCAAAACATCGAAAACGACAACAGCTTAACCCCCCCCCCCCCCCCCCCGCCCAAACAAAAAACCCTAAACCCTAAACCCTAAACCCTAAACCCTAAACCCTAAACCCCAAACCCCAAACCCCAAACACAAAAAAGCATGACAAAGACTAGTCGGAGAAAGGACCCCAGCTCATCTGAGCGAAAAGGCCATCCACTGCTTCTGAGGCCGGCGCGGAGCAAGCCTACCACTGCAATATGAGGGCGGCAGAAAAACAGAAGCCACGAGCACTTCCCTACTTCTGAGGTCCGCGCAAAACTGAACTACAGTATCAGAAGGCATGTGCCTTCAAATTGGGGTTTAAGCGTGGTGCAAGGCAACAACACTGGACAGCTCAAATCCAGGAACCTCCGTTTTGGTCGCGGAATCTCACCTACCAGGCTCACTTTCCTTTGTTCAGCTCAATGTGTCCTGGAAGAGCCGCTTTTTGTGGGGAGCCAGAAGACTTGGTTCGGAAAACCTTGAGGGGTGTGGGATCTAAGTTTGCAGTGCGTTTAGTGCTTTAGGGTCACAGGGTTTTCGGAACCTAGGGTTTCGGGCTTTCAGGCTCTAGGGCTTTGAAGGTACTTGCACAAGCTTCACCCCCCCCCCCCCCCCTAAACCCTAAACCCTAAACCCTAAACCCTAAACCCTAAACCCTAAACCCTAAACCCTAAGCCCTAAGCCCTAAGCCCTAAGCCCTAAACCCAACTTTCCATCAGGGCTCTGTTGGGGGTTCTGTACTACAGCACGCCCCTCGATGAATCAACTCCCAAGCTTCCCCAGAAACCCGAAACCCGAAACCCGAAACCCGAAACCCGAAACCCGAAACCCTAAACCCTAAACCCCAAACCCTAAACCCTAAACCCTAAACCCTAAACCCTAAACCCTAAATCCTAAACCCTAAACCCAAACCCTAAACCTAAACCCTAAACCCTGAACCCGAAAGGTTTAGGGTTTAGGGCCCCCAATAATTAAGGGGATATGGGCTGCTGCTAGCTTTTGGGAAGAGTATCACCCTGAACCCTTGTCAGCTGAGTTCGGGTCCGGTGTGTCAAGTCCAACAAGCGCTGGAAACGCGCAACTGAGCGTCGGGGGGGGGGATGCAAAGTAAACCCCAGTCCCCAATTTCCTTTCGGAGGTGCAAGGTTAGGGTTTAGGGCTTAGGGCTTGGGGTCTAGGATTTGCCGTGCGGAGGGGTGCTCATTGCTACAGACAAAGAAAACCCATACCTGTAAATCACAAAAACCCTGGAACCCTGAGCTCGAAACATTAGAAGGAAGTACTGCTTGCTTCCCCAGTCAGCTCCCTAAAGGCCCTCCCTGCAAGCCCCCACCCTCAGCCGGAACCCCCAAAGCCTTAACCCTGAACCCTAAACCGTACTCCCTAAACCCTAGAAGTCCCTGAGTCCCTTGCTATAGCCCCTTGAGTCCCTAAACCCTGAACCCTATATCCTTCAGTTTCTTTCTTAAGCCCTTTGAGTCCCTAAACCCTGAACCCTAAATCCTTCAGTTTCTTAACCCTGCGATTTTCCCCCTAAGGCCGCCGCAGACCATGGGGTCATCAAGCTTAAGCTTCGCAACCATCCTGCAGCATGTTGCAGTGCACCGAGCGATGTTCAAACACAGTGAGGGTTTGGGGTTTAGGGTTTATGGTTCTTGGTTTATGTCTCAAGGGGTGGGGTCCCAAATCTTCCCTAAACCGCTTCTTGAGGCTAATTCATAGTGAGAACTTTCGGTACATTCTTTACAGGGTATTGCGCTATCAGGGTGACCGAAACCCTAAACCCGATTTGGTGCAGACTTGCCCTTGGCTCTGGGCTTAGCCCAAGGCATCGGACTTTTCAGCTTGTAAAGCCCAAGAGCCAGTTTCCCGGAGATTGAGGGGTTGAGCTCAGAGGACGTGAAGTAGTTGTTACCCCACTAAGGACTTCACTGAATCTTTCTCAACCCTAACCCCTAGACCATACACCCCAACTGAAGCCCTACGCCTCAGGTCAGCATTGCAAGCCTAACTGAAGGGACTACACCCCAAGTGAACTCCAAGCGACCCCCTGACGCCGAAGTCCCTAAGCTCCTAAGCCCCAACTCCCTACATCCCTAGACCCGGTGTGGGAGGCTCCTGGCACCTTCTCGATGGAGAACCATCTGGCTGACCTTGCTTATTCCGTGCGGGGTCTCTGGCATCTCTGGTCTGCGGGCTCGGTTAAGGATTCAGGGTTCGCGTTTGGTTGGGTTTGGGGTTTAGGGTTCAGAGTTTAGGTTGTGGGCCTTGGGTGCAGAGCAGCTTTGCTCTTCGGAAATGTGCAGAAAACGCACGCACTGGCGGTACATTCGACATGCCAGAAAATTGATCTACTTAGGGTTTCTGGGGTCTAGGGAGTTTAGAGTTTGTCACTTTCAAGCAAAGCAAAGTGTTCCCAAAAACTAAAACGACTCCCTTCGATGGGAGTCCGGATTTTCGGAACGCCCCCTCCCACAACCCGGTTTTTTTGAAACCCTAAACACTAAAGCCTCCTCCTGTGTCCTGCACAGCAGCACTCCCAGCGCCCTGTCCACTCTGAGGTTCTACCCCCCCTCCCCCGCCCCCACCCTGTCAAGAAGATTCACGGCAAGGGTTTAGGGTTTAGGGTTTAGGGTTTAGGGTTTAGGGTTTAGGGTTTAGGGTTTAGGGTTTAGGGTTTAGGGTTTAGGGTTTAGGGTTTAGGGTTTAGGGTTTAGGGTTTAGGAATACAGCATTCCCAGGGCACACGTGAACCTTCTTCGGGCCGGGCCGTTGGCTGAGGTCACGGCGTCCCAGCCCAGGGGCAGCTTGCGGACTTCCTCTTTAGGGTTTAAGGTTGAGGGTTTAGGGTGAAGAACGAAGTGTCCCTATCTCACGAAGCGAACCCTCAACCCATAACCCAGGCCTCAAACAACGGCTGAAGGATCAGGGTTTGGGGGTTAACGCAATCCGGGCTGGTGGAACCCAAAACACCCTGAGCCCAACGTAATGTCAGACCATGCCTGAACAAAAAACTACACCCTACCCAATACACAACCCTAAACCCTGACGAAAGCCGAAACCCTAGACCCCAAATCCCAAACCCCAAATCCCAAATCCCAAATCCCAACTAAACCCCAAACCCCAAACCCCAAACCCCAAACCCCAAACCCCAAACCCCAAACCCCAAACCCCAAACCCCAAACCCTAAACCCTAAACCCTGAGTCCTTGTACTTGAGGATGGCTTCCTCAAACTCGCTGAGCTCCGTGGCATTCAGGCCTGGGGTGTCCACCGGAAGACTCAGGGTTGAGGGTTTAGTCGGGAATTTAGGGTTTAGGGCGTAGGAGAGGACTCTTAGGGTTTAGGGTTTAGGGTTAGGGGGTTAGGTTTGGTTTCAGGGTTCGGGGTTTGGGGTTCTTGTTTAGTGGGGATTTAGGGTTTGGGTGTGGGTTTGGGGTTTCAATTGTTTAAAAGGGAATCATAAGAAGTACAACTAGGGCTAAGGGTCCACGCAACAGGGTCGGTCACCCAATGGCCCCTGAGAACATCTGCATGATGGCTTTCTTGGGTTGCTTAGGTGATTGGGAGTTTACAAATCTCAACAAAGGGGTGGCATCCCATTTCTGGTCCTCACATTAAAACGGCCACTCGGGAACACCAACCTCAGCAACACAAATCGATGGTCCGGCCCCATCCTTTAAGACAAGTTTGCCCGCCCTTTCAGGACTTGGGGATTGTTTGGGCTGTCCGGCGCTATCACGACAAGCCTCCCGGGCGTCGCAAGAAATACTTTAATCTCGATTGCCGGGCCTCGCTACCAAGGGGCGAACGGCTCCTCATTGAAAATCTCTAGGCCATCGAAAGAGGGTCCAGAATTTCAGATTCTACTGCGAGAGGGTCCAAATCGGCTTCGACTGTTCAAGGGGAAGGGGGGAGGGGGGGGAGGAGTGAACACACTAAACAGGGTCCAACACACCGACTCGACTGCTAACAAAAAACGCGAAACCCTACACCCTAAACCCTATGGACCCTAAACCCTAAACCCTCCACCCCAACCATTCATGTTGACAGGCCCTGGCCGGGAGTTGGGTGCCCGACGCTTGGCAGCCACCAGCGCCCCCTGCTTGAAGCTTCGCTGGCGGTTGTACCCGAACCCTCAATCCAAAAGTACGTTTTGAAATTTCAGGGATGAGTCGCAGCTTCCGCTGGGAATACCAGGGACCACTCGGAGCTTGGCATAAACGGGAGAACCGAGCGGTTTAGGGTTTAGGGTGGTTGTTCAAGGGCTTGAATGTATCGTATGGGTTTGGAGTTTAGTTGTTGATTGTCTTTTTGCCTGGTGGATCTCAATTAGGGTTTAGGGGGTTGCTCAGAATTGAAGGCTCCCCCTTTTCCCCTCGTTTTTTGCGAGGTGGAGCCTTACATCAAAGGAAGTGTTTGCAAGCAGCATCTCTAAGGGGACATGTTCCCGGACATCAAGGGTGAAAGAGTGCGCCTTCAGACGCTTTGCGTCGCCAGCATCGATGGCTGACCGGAGCTGCCCGCGAGCCTTGCTCATCAGCGGTTGCGTTTCGGGCTTTGCGGGTTTGTAGGGTTCTTAGGGTTTAAAGGGTTTATCGTTCTGCGAAAATTCAAAGAAAAGGTCCAATATCCAAACCCTTATATACCCTATACACATTAAGGGTGCATACATCAGAGCCCTTAAAAGGAGGCTAAGGACCACATATTAAGGGCCCATGAAACTACCCTCAGAGCTTCTGCGCCATCATTGAGCCAGCGATTCCCGTGCGGATGGTTTAGGCAACTTGCTTCAAGACAGACCGGTTGAGGCTCTAAGAGTGCTGCTTTGCTGCCATACAAGCCCTTAAGGGCCCTGAGTAAAGGGCAAACGAGCCCTCAGAAGTCCTACAATGCCCTATAAGCCCCTAAACCCTAGAAGGCGGCAACCAAAATCTTTTAAAGGCGGCAACCAAAATCTTTTAAAGCAAAAATCCTCGAAAAACCCAAGCCCTAAACCCAAGAAGGCTTCAAAACCCTTTTAACCCCCCCCCCCCCCCCCCTCGCCCCGCCCCCCAAGAAACAAGAAAAAAAAGACGACCCAACTCCGCCTGCTGCATCGCCGCGTTGCGGACGACGCTGGGGGCGTTGGGCCCTAGGAGGTTCCTTGGCTGATAAAACTAGGGAGGGGCGTTTAGGTTTTGGGGGTAAAATCTAGGGGTTTTAGGGCAAACTTTAGGCGTTTAGGGGCTTACGGTGGAAATGGGGATAAGGGTTAATTCAGGGGCTTCGGGTTTATAAGGTTTAGGGGTGAAGGCTTAGTAACTCGATCCTGAACAGCCCTAAGCCCCTAAGCCATACACCCCGCCAAGACTCCGCAAAAGTCTGGGGCCCGGTCCTTCCCCTAAACCTTAAACCCTAAACCCTACACCGAAAACCCTAAACCCTCCCCTCAGCCTCTAAGGTCATAAGGAGGGGTTGGGGTTGAGGTCTTTGGGGCTAGCTTCCAAGCCCAGCTCTCAACACCTTGAGAATAGAAACAGGCAGAATCTAACAAGCATCGCGCAGGTACCTTCTTGTCGGCTCTCCATCATCTTGGGTTTCTTCCAGACCCAGACTGTGGGGCCCTTAATAAGGCAGCCCTATTCTAAAGCAATCCTCCTCCCTCCCCCCCCCTTCCCCCCCCAGTTGCAGAAAGGCCCTAAAGTAAAACCCCCCAAGCGCTGAGCTCTAAACCCCAAACCCGAAACCCTGAAGCCCTAAACCCTAAACCCTAAACCCCAAACCCTAAACCCTAAACCCTATACCCTAACCCTAAACCCTAAACCCTAAACCTAAACCGTCGTCAATCAGTCCAGGTTGCTGGGCCATTGCCTCGGTCGAGGGCTTTGGCTTCTCTCTGCTTGTTTTGTGGGGAATAAGGGTTTCATTTGGGGTCTAGGGTTTAGGGTTTGGGGTTTAGGGTTTGGGGGTTGTAGGGTTTAGGGTCCGCCGACCCTGGCGGCGTGTTGGATGGGAAAAGGAGGTGAAAACCTCCCTCTTTCCCTCCTTACCCCCCCAAAACGCGGGGGGGGAGGGGGGGGGTGTGCAGCTTAAATAGGGTCTATTTGGAAGCTGAGAGTCGTGTTTTAAAGAGGAAATAAGGCCCCAAAACGTATGCTTATTCACAAAAGCCATCTGCCAAATAGACCCTGTTGTCGTTTCTGGGGGTTCTGGGGCAAGGAATTAAATAAATTAAATAATTTAAATCCGAAAGGGGGGGTTCGGATTTAAATTATTTAAATTATTTAATTCCCCCCCCCGGAATTAAATAATTTAAATAATTTAAATAATTTGAATAATTTGAATAATTTAAATAATGTAAATAATTTAAATAATATAAATAATTTAAATAATTTAAATAATTTAAATAATTTAAATAATTTAAATAATTTAAATAATTTAAATAATTTAAAACATCTAAATAGTTTAAATAATTTTAATCCGAAAGGGGCGTTTCGGATTTAAATTATGTAAATTATTTAATTCTGGGAAGGGGAGGGGCCTGGTCGGGCCTGGCCCCCCCCCCCCC